CAATGATTCATGTATTTCATGTCTTGCCCGAACTGTCTCTAATAGCAACCCGGGTTACTCGGGTTACTCGGGTCTCAATCGGCCTGCCCAAACCCGAGTAACCCGGGTTGCTATTAGAGACAGTTCGGGCAAGACATGAAATACATGAATCATTGAGAGGCGTACGCATGTCCGACCCAAACCTAACTCCGAGCGCTTCTTCGTAAGCACCCTCTGTGGTACAGCGGTAGTAGGACAGAGACACAGATATAGAAACCGTGATTTAACATTTTGTAGTAACAATTTGATTTCACTCCTTTTTCATGGCAATATATTTGGTTTTTCTATCGCGTTTTTTGAACATATTATTTAGAAAATTCAATGTTTTTTAGGCGGATTTCTTTTTGATGGTTTTTGTTTTTTTTATTGTATATTATTTTTAAAAATATACTTGGCGTTTTTTTATTGAATAATTCTAATCTAAATTCATTCCAAACAGTTTCATAATACGCATCATGGTAAGCACGTTTGAGGTCCTGTCGCTTGAAGGTTAGAACTGTCTTTTAAACACAGATTTGCTGCTCCTTGCCATTTTTCATGTGCCGTAGTTGCTGCTGTAACAATTCTGCGACAAAAGTAATCACGTGACCCTTTTTGTCGCTGAAACGGCCGGTTCGAGCGACACGTGAAAATGCACCTTAAGGGTGGCGTCCCATGGAGCGGAATACGCGGAAGCGGAATCAGCGGATCGCCAATCGCAAGATTATTCTGATAGAGCCCTTTCAAAAATTCCGTCGAAACGGTCTTGTGATTGGCGATCCGCTGATTCCGCTTCCGCGTATTTCGCTCCATGGGACGTCGCCCTAAAAGTACAAATCGATCGTATTGGATATCGAACGTGATGCGTTCAATGAAAACGTACCCCAAGGGCCTTTAACCGCCAGTAGGCGCCGCTCTACATCGATTCCTCGTCACAGACGCAAGCGCGGGGCATTTTGCGGCGTCTGTTCGTTCTGCAGCCTGTCCGGGATCGCACGTACGGTAAGTGAGGACGCGCGGCGTCCGTAATCCGCGTCATCGTTGTGAATGAAAAGACAATCCGTTCGCGGGACGCCCGAAATAACGTTCCGCGTTTCCGCGGCCGTCGGCGGAATTCCGTATTTCCGTCGCACCCACGTTCGTAAGTGCAGCCGCCGCGTCGCTGGATCGCAGCCTTGAGACGCGTGGAAGCGTCTCGCTTGTCGGCGTCGCGTGGCACCGTGGATTCTATATAAGTCGCGGATATATCGCGGATAAACGCATCGCGGCCCCGTCGTCTCGTTGACGGCTCCCCCCGACGTCTCGTAATTGTCCCGATCCTGCGTGGCGTCCGCGGGCGACTATCGGTCCGTTCGCGGTACGACGGCAAGGCGGCCGCCATTACGCGAACGCTTCTCCGACAAAATCGTTATTCCCGGAACGATACATTTGTGGCGATGCGCGAGCGTTTAGATTCCTCGTAGACAACTCGTCGCGTTATTTATGATGAAAAATGCGACCTGAATGATCGAGATGCATTGATTAAAAAAAGAATTGTGTCCATCGCTAATCTTCAGTCACGATCCATTGTGGTCTTTGATCGATTTGTTTGCGTGAATAATCTTTTAATGTAATTCGAATTAGTTTATGCGCATATTTTATTCTTGATGTCGGATGTTCGTATCTTTAGAGATTTCTGCTCAATTGTACACAATGTTTATATTAATGTATAATTTATTATAATATTTTACGATGTGCCAAGAATATGGGATCCGTTCTTTTGAGCTGAACTGGCCGTACTAGTTCAGATTTCATTTTTATCTCTTTACATTGGAGAGAGAAAGGCCCATATTTATCCCTCTTTTATCAATAAAAGCGCCTCTAAAAGTAGCGAAAAGTCCCCTGATTGGCTACAAACTACTGTTAAAGGCGCTTTTGTTGTTAAAAGAGGATTCAGAATACAAGCCGAAGAAATTCGGACTGGTGCAGCCAGTTCAGTTGAAAAGAATAGACCCTATACATGGAAAGTGTATTTGGAGTCGAAGAAAACTCGAACCACCAAATTCTCTTTTTCAATTATCAAATTTAACGGTATATTTTAAGTAGAGTATTTTCTATGAGTTGCGTTATTGCATCGCAAATCTTGTCTTAATTTTAGTTACTGTACTGAGGTAATTTAGTCGGGATACAATGGCGGATAACGATGATCTTTTGGATTATGAAGACGAAGAGCAGACTGAGCAGGTGGTCGACGGAAGCGGAGACATCCCCGCTAAGAAGGAGGTGAAGGGCACGTATGTCTCTATCCACAGCAGTGGGTTTAGAGACTTTCTTCTCAAACCTGAGATCCTTCGTGCTATCGTCGACTGTGGCTTTGAACATCCATCTGAAGGTAAATGACCGTTCATTATAAGTTTCCATTTTACCTTTAGTCGTGCAGATGCATAGATGATGAATAAGTTTAATGCTAGATAGGGACAGCTGAAGTTTTCGTGATCGAGCAAAGCATTTCTGATGTATTTATCTCGTTCTTACTCAACTTCGTGATATTTTTGCGTAATAAATAAGCAGCATATAAATATTTCTTGCAGTTCAACATGAATGTATTCCTCAAGCGGTTCTTGGCATGGATATATTGTGCCAAGCAAAATCGGGTATGGGAAAAACAGCGGTGTTTGTATTAGCTACCCTTCAACAGCTGGAATTAACGGAGAATCAAGTGTACGTCTTGGTAATGTGCCATACTCGAGAGCTGGCTTTTCAAATCAGTAAGGAATATGAGAGGTTTAGCAAGTACATGCCACATGTAAAGGTAAGTTTCGCGCAATTACCTTTTTATAAAATTTTACACTTGATAGATGCACAAGTTCTTTAATTATTAAGTTATTTTGTTATATATACTCTCTAAACAACCTTAACACACTTAGGGCCAGTTTCACAAACGTCATTTAACTGCTAACCCATGGTTAATTGATCCTCGGTCTCTTCTTGGATAACAAGGTAGAGAAAGATAGGAAGTCGACTGAACTCTGGTTGACAGTTAACCGACGTTTGTGAAACTGGACCTTATAATGCTGCACTGCATTTGAGTAACAGTATATTTTTACATTATCGATACTATTTAATGTTTTCTATACTGTCGTAAAAACATAAAGGTTTATATTTTAGTTCTTTTATTACGGGACAAAATTTCTTTAATTGCAGGTTGGCGTGTTTTTCGGTGGCTTACCTATCCAGAAAGATGAGGAGGTTTTGAAAACTGTATGTCCTCACATCGTCGTCGGCACTCCGGGTCGTATTCTTGCTCTTGTACGGAACAAAAAACTGAATTTAAAACACCTGAAACACTTTATACTGGACGAATGCGACAAGATGCTTGAGTTGCTAGGTTCGTCATAAACGATTTACTAATTTAAAATAATATTTTGTCGAAAAGGATCTTGACATGATGTATGAAGCAATCTTAGCTTATCGTGATGACTACATTTTCCACTACCCACTATATTATCTGAGCGATCCTTCAAAATGTACTCTATATTTAACATTCATCTCGCGATTGATAAATAATTAGTTGCGTCGTTATTGCAGATATGCGTCGGGACGTACAGGAAATATTCAGAAGCACACCGCACAGCAAACAAGTGATGATGTTTAGCGCCACGCTGTCCAAGGAGATACGTCCTGTCTGCAAAAAGTTCATGCAAGATGTAATTACACAATCTTCCTCTTCACTTCGATCTACTGCAATTGCTCCTACCTATGTGCTGTCGGCACACTCGTGTCCAGGACAAGGCTCAGGCCACACTATAAATATCAATATCGGCGCATCCGCGGGTTAGGCAACTTAGACGCTGCTTTGAAGAAACCGAGTATCGAGTTAAAAAAAAAAGAATCACGTTCGAAACCTTTCGATAAACGGCGCAGTCATACGCTCATGTTCGACACTCGTGTCCGCATATCTCGCTGCTCCTGATCCTGATTCCGGGTGTAAACTCGATGTGTAAAGTCATCTGCACGTACATGTAAAGGGGAAGTCTTTCTAAAATCGAGTTCTCAACCGTTCGAATACGGGGTTCGAGTTAGCTTTCCAATCGATAATAATGTCCCTTGATTCACTGGATGTTACGCATATTCAAGGGACAACACAATATAAAGATATCGATCTGTCAGAAAATATAATGGGATAGGGATATAAAATATTTCTACTCGCGGGTAACTGGAGCAGTTAGAATAGAATTAGGATGCGTATGATTTGTTTGCCATTGGGGACGGGGGGCCAAGAAGACTTGAAGACAACTTGAAGACAGAAGAGCGCAAGAAAGAAGATGCAAGAGGATACTCAGGGGAACGATTAGGATTAGCTAGGGAAAAGAAATTTAAAACGGAAGCGTAGGCCATAGCTCTGTCGCGTTCGTGTTCATCCAATCGCAAATTAAAGGCATATTACATAAAAACGTTTCCATCTCGCGCAAAGGTTTCGATCGCGGTCTTTTAGCACGAGTGATATCCAAGAGAAGGAAATGCAAATGCCCTGCATAAATCGAGCTATTTCGTGTCTTAGAGAAAGCCGTAAAGTCACGTGAAAGCTAAAATACGCGAGTCTTCGTGTACCGTGAATCGCGCTCTTTATTTCGCACGAGTGGCGGAAGTCGGGCTCGCGGCTTAACGGATACCGGAGGTGAAAAGGCCGAGCGTCTATACCAACCGGAGTAATACGAGTCGATTCTGGGCATCTTAATGTGCCAGAAATTTGGGAGAAGAGATTCTGGCATCGAGTGGCCAGAGAGGGAGAGAGAAAGAGATGTGACCGAACGTTCTGTCATGTGAGCGCGCCTGCATATGAATTGAGTTGGGGCGAACTGCTGAGAGTTTTCATTGTTGGCACTACCCAGAGATGGAAGTCGCCGGACCGTATGTAATTTGTATGACTAATCACGATCGTCGATCACGATTGTACTCCGCAATTGAAACGCGGGAGTCTCTTTTGCTGGGACTTTCGATATTTACGGAAGTGTACGGTAACTTAACGCCGTCTTCAAAGGGCGAAAAGATATTTGGAAGTTAACGTGTATTTAAAAAAATTGGTTTGTCTTTTTTGTGTCGCTTAAAGTACTTGAGAAAAAAAAACGACCAACTTTTACTTTTCCAAACGATACAGTCGCATCGAGGAAATAGTGTCATTTTAGTTTGTTTTACTGAATTTTTGGAACGGATGTCCCTTCACCATACATTCGGTCGCATTCGATTTTTAGATAGCGAAAACGAGTACGTCGAGACTACAGAGACCCGTAAAAACCTGCAGCCTGAGATTCACATGTACACACACTCTAATTTTGTCCCGTGGATCTGTTTGTTTTATGAGATAACATTCTTTGTGCAGCCAATGGAGGTCTATGTCGACGACGAGGCGAAGCTCACTTTGAACGGTCTCCAGCAACATTACGTTAAATTGAAGGAGAACGAGAAGAACAAGAAGTTATTTGAACTACTTGATGTTCTTGAGTTCAATCAGGTTTGTTTGCAAACTAGGACAATCTACAGCAGATTGCATTTTCCTTATTGCGGAGAATTTTTGTGTGATGACGCAACAGTTTTCTTATCTTCCTGTGATGACTATCTTATCACTACTCACCAACTCTGATGAAGATTTTCTCAAGTATTTACTTAAAAGAATTTATCGATGGTTTACACACTCAATTGGGTTCCTAATATTTGATTATGTTAGAAGATATGTCGAGTCAGAAATGTTTCTTCTCGAGATCTAAACCGATGGTATTGTCAGTGTGATTTACCTTTCAACGGTTGCTCTTCATAGGTCGTCATATTTGTGAAGTCTGTACAAAGATGTATGGCTTTAGCGCAACTTTTGACGGAACAGAATTTCCCTGCGATCGGGATTCACCGGGGCATGACGCAGGAGGAGCGTCTGTCCAGATATCAACAGTTCAAAGATTTCCAGAAAGTAAGTAGTTTGTGCGTAAAGTCCTGTCGAGTGTCGATATGTGTACATATGTAATATAAATCGACTCGTAAGACGTGATTGAACAACGAATGGCATTTTCAGCGTATTTTGGTGGCGACAAATCTGTTCGGAAGAGGGATGGATATAGAACGTGTGAACATTGTATTCAACTACGATATGCCAGAAGATTCCGACACATACCTGCATAGAGTGGCGCGCGCTGGTCGTTTTGGTACTAAGGTAATAAATCGTCAACTATTCGAGCATCATGTATATACATGTAACAAAAACATATCATTTTGAAATCTCTACAAGAGTCCTCAAACAAATTTAAACAAAAGCGAAGCATTTAATATTGATTTTATTGGCAAATAATCGAGTGGCAAGGTTAAATCTTGGAACTTGCATAATCAATTACGATGTATTCATTTGGGGATGTTCTACAGGGCCTTGCCATTACATTAGTAAGCGACGAAAGTGACGCCAAGATACTGAATGATGTTCAAGAGAGGTTTGACGTAAATATTACAGAATTACCAGACGAAATCGATCTCGCTTCATACAGTAAGTTCACGTTTTCGAAAATTTAATTTATCCTTGTCCGACGACAATGTCTTAAAATTATGTTAATTTAATATCTTTACTTTTAGTTGAGGGACGATAAATTTAAATGCACCAAGTCACAATGTGGTATCTTTTAAGGCACATAATTTAAGTGAGTAACCTTCGATTAATTAGATACGAAATACTTTTTTTAATGTGACGTAGTAATTAGAACTGTATTTAAATAATTTATTCTTTTTTTTGTTTTCAGTATTCTTATTCCACCTATTCTTAATGTAAAGATGGGCACCAAATAATAATTGATATGGAAATTGATATGGAAATATTGATATAGAAAAAATGTAATTGCATTATAAAGTGTTTTGTATAAGTTTACCTGCTCTTTTCACTAATATCGAACAACGGATATGATCGGTTGACGTAATCGTGTCATAATCTAATCATAGCTACTTTGACAACTAATAAATTGCTATTAATGAAGATGTACATGTCTTGTTCAATTTCTTAGAAACTAAGTGTTGTATGTAATAGATACATTTTGAAAGAGAAAGGAGTCGTTGCATCCCGTACGAAATGTGAACGACTGAAATAAAAACTTCCTTTTATAAATGCAGATTTATTTCTTGTAGACTATCCTGCTGCTCTAACTCGATCTGAAAAGTTTATTCCGATTACAGTGATAAACTAAAATTTAAGTGAGATATATTTCATCACTTCGAAGAATATTCGCATATGTACTAGAATTATTTATTTCAAAATTACTCTTGTACATTGCAAATTATGCGTCATGCTTTATTTTTAAGTTCTTTATCATTGTCGATAAACGCTAGTATGGAACATAAGTAGTTTATATTAATGTAACGTGTCTAATTCAAAATCAAGAGTTTGTTCATTCACGGCACGAGTATGAAAGTACCTCTGTAGCTCGTAAATCGAGATTGTAATTTTATGTACATATAAGATTACATGAAACAAGAAATACGATAGCGACGAATTTTCGTTAAGAAAGATTAGTAGTTCCGAGGTGTTCGCCAGGTATATATAGATGCAATTGAAATAGAATTAAAATACTATTTGGATTCATTTAGGTCTTTGTTTATTTTGTGATTTATTGCCGACTTGCGTGCCGCCCCCACGACCCAACGGTGCCGGTCCTCTTCCCCCTCTGCCGAAGGTACCTGCAATGCATAATGAACAACGATAAACAAATTGCTATAAAGATTTACAGATTCTAATTGATCGTCATTTTCTAAAACAATACGGAATATCTTTCACACGATAGTCGTTCACTTGTCCCTTCAATGTTTGGCTGCCAGAAAGCCTCTAATTTCGCAGCTACTTATACAATTCATCAGCTATCAAGTATTTTGGCATTCTTGTCAAAAGGTTTATCCCAAAATGGACAGTTCGAAGAAAGCGCGCTTAGGGACGGCCCCTGCGTACAGTTGATAATTTCATAAAGTAATATCGCTACCTCTACCACCGCCGCGTCCCCTCTGACTCTGGCCTCGACCCTTCATCTCGCCGCGGCCTCTCGACTTCATCTGAATGTCCTCCTTCACCATGTCTATCACTTCATCAGGAATTCTCAGATACTTTATCGTACTGCCTCTTATATAGCACTCCGGCATCCTCCAAAACTTGTCGCCATCCTGATTCAATCATCAAATTCTAATGAGTAAAACTTCATAGTTGGACTCTTCTCTAGAATTACCGGGTCAAAAATAAAACAACTTTTGATAAAACAATAAAATGTATAAAATAAATTTATACGTATCAACGTATACTAGATACTAACGTTAATCGCTTTGTATCTAGCATACGTCAATACATTTGATTTAGCCTCAGTTTTTATCGCAACAGATTCCAATAATCTCGCTCAGATAGCGTTATCTTTATAGTCGTTTCACAATATTCCGTCTAATTCAATTTGAACTTTGTCAAGGCAAACGAGATGCCTTTCCTGAGTCAACGGTAAAGCACGCACCCTAGAGGTACATATAACCTCTCTGAGGTTTATGTTCATCCAGTTATCACAGCTGACTAAGTGACCGTTGTACGTTTCTCCGTTTTTCAGCTCCACCAGCTGTAATAAGAGACACTGTTCAGCTTACAAGGATCCTTCAAACGTCGCTCTTCCCCGAGAAATTGCAGAGAATTACAGGACTTACCATAGGGTGGTTTTGCGCCGTTTTCAGCAAAGTCAGAGGTAACTGGAAAGAATTAAATAGTACGTATTGTAAAGCGAGGCGGCATCGATACGAGAAATCGGATTGGAATGAGAATAACGAACTTACCATGATTATAATTGATTAAAACCCACGTATCCACGAAGGTTGCGGCAGGTTATGCGTCAACAGTAATTCTATTTGAAAACAATCGTCCGCGAGCGCCATCTGCACTCGGAAATCTCATCTCCGGGACTCGAGCCACGAATCTTTTTTTTCCTCCGGCGTGAACTCGTGAAAAGTGACAAATTTCATTGGCGAATATTAAATTCTTCAGTGAAATTTGTCACTTTTCACGAGTTCACGCTAGAGAAAGAGATTCATGATCCCAGAAATTTTATTTTGGGTGCGCCTTTCGGGAGAGGTTTCCTCACTCTGAAAGTTCAGGATGCGCTCGGTTGGTGGCACTTGGCGGGATTTTTCAAACCGTCGCGACGGAACGCATAATTTTATTGTAAGAAATACATATACATATATACATGCCTGCTTACGCAACGTCTAAAAACGGACTCATTTATATTTATCGATGTCATTTCGAAATGTTATGCGTCCACGATCTACCAGATCCACCTGATCGCTGATAGTAAACCGCAACCCAGTGAGCGCCAAGTAACAGTTATAAATCAATATCATAATTTCCTACTCAGCAATGTAAATGTAATGTAACACGCATGTTATATTACATTTACATTGCCGAGCAGGCAATTATAATATTGATGTTATGTAACCGCGCTGCTTGGGTGTTTACTGATAACGGACAGGCTTCGATTTTTAAGTGCCAAATCGCCCGATCAACATACGTGTGTCGATATCGCGACGTACTGCAACGGCCGTTCATTCAGGCTCGTTGCATAATGTGGAAATAGTATAAATAGGGCGATTTCGTGAATAAAAGCGTTTCGCAACGTCACGATACTACCACAAATTAGCTGTTTATCATTCACACTAAAATCACCACTTTCAAATCGCTGAAATTCTTGGCTTGTTCTTTCCGATGGAGCACAATTGCCATAAGCTTCGACAAGTAATTTATGAGCTGTAGCTGCAGTGTTTTTTTTTCAAATCAAAGTAATGAAGCAGCACACGCCGAGAAAACAACTTATCACGTTCCATGTTTAATCAAAGGAAAGAAAAATGGCGCTATTCGCTTAAATAAATCTTTTTGCGCTGAATTTTATTGACAAATGTCCAACCTTTAAGGATGTATTGGACGTACAATCTTAGACAAAAGTGCATGAAATTGGAAATACTTAAATATCTACTCTTAACGCATAGTAAATCTAGATGTAAGAAACTTGAACGATAGTTGGAGTCTTATTTGTACTTCTACAAAGGTATTTTTCACTTTACAAATATTTTTTCCTGAATTATTTGTGATTTTTTTCACTTATGAGCCTAAACTTTTGATAGTGAAAATGCTCTGATTTCAATTCTTAATAACGTCAAATATTTTCAAAACTAAAAAATTCGTGCTGTCGGCACGAATATCTCAGGTCATATTTTATTATATTTTATTTCTTTAAAACGGTGCAGTAAAGACTATCGAAACTTGGTAGATATTTTCATCTATTCGTATACTAGATGTATAAAAAATTCAAAACACTGGTACTATTTCTTCTACATTTTTTTAGCTGTTTTATCCGTGAAGATCGGCTCTTCCCATAAGAGTACGTGTAAAATCAGTGTAAATTAAAATAGTTATATCTCAGCAACCGTTTAGTGGATGCATTTTTACTTTTCTGCAATAAATTAAGAAGACTAAAAGAACAATTTCACAAATTTTTAGCGACTTTGTACTATTTTGAAGATAGGTCCGATACATCCTTAAAATGCAGCCCGTTTCAGGGGCCCGATTCTTGAATTCATTCGAAGAAGAAACGTATACGAAAATTCTGCTCTGACAGAAAAGTTGAAAGTCGATTGGTTAAAGCCATGCGAATAGCCAACCAACTTGCAACTTTTCTGTAAGAGCAGAATTCTCGCATACGTTTCTCCTTCGAATAAATTCAAGAATCGAGCCCCAGATGTCAAAGTAAATTGCACTTACAACTAGCGTCATCTAAATGTGAGCCGCGAAAACTAAGTTTACCACCTAATAGTATTCCCTTCCCAAGTAGAACATATTAGTCGTGAAAACACCAAGATGATATAATTTTTTAATCATTTTTTATGCGTCATGGTGACGTCGAAATAGCCCACCGGGAGCACCTATTTGCGACATCATTAAGACATCAAAATATTGTAAAAACGATCTTGTTTTACGAAGCAAAGTTAATTAAATATTGTACATTAAACATAAATTGAGGTAATGTAAGATAAATATAATATCGCCATGTAATCAGTAATAATATATTATTATACACATCACGAATGTCATAAAACAGCATGTCATAGATCAGCCATTGCAAAGTAAATCTTGATGTCGATCATTTTATGACACGAAATTCATCATTTTAATGTTACATTGACGTTTTTGTGATTAACTTGTTCTACTTGGGTTATTTAGCCAATGCGTCTATTTAGCAATATTGTATAAATATTAGGCCAATATTCTTATTGTTTAATATTGGCCAATGCACTTTCATTATAAATCTAATATTACTATCGTGCAATATTTACACTTATTCCATAGCCAATTAATATCGGCTTTACGTTGGACAATATCGGCCAATGTATTTCTAATACAACCAACATTGGACCAATGTTTAGCCAATGCACTGCTAGGGAATATTGGCTTCTTAATCAAGAGAATAAAATCAAGAATGTAAACAACCTAGATAAGTTTTAATCTCGCAATTTATGAAGAAGGAAGCTTTCTCGTCGCAGATGTTGATAAACGACAATTGCGCGGATTACGTCGCTAAATTATAAACGTACGTGATCGCAGAATTTAATGAACGCGTGCGCTAGGCTAACGAGCGGGACGATCCAGCCCGGTGATTCGCGAGAGCAACGGATCGGTGTTTTTTAATCGGCGCCCCCCCTCCGCGCCATTGTCTATCCGCGGTGTTTACGTCCCCAATGCTGTGTTGAACAACTCAAACGATCCGCCGCGGCTGTACGCGCGGATTCCTCGTCGGCACGCAAGCTCGCGGGTATAAAGTACATAGCCGCGGCTGTACGCGCGCGAACTCATCCGGCGAAAAACAATTCGCGCGCGCACGACACTCGGCATTGTCGTCGCGCGCACCGGCAGTGCTTCGCGCCGCGTTCGGTTCGTCGCGCGGGACTGTGTCGCGCGGCCGGCACGACGGACACGACGGCGATCGCTCGCCGCGAAACTGGAAAGCCCGAGGATCCCGAGCGCGGGCGCGCGCGCGTCCTGACAGCGTAAGCGTAAGTACGAGAAAGGGCCTGAGCAGAGAGATTTGCCGTTTCACGATTCTGTAGCAGCTAATTCGGTTGCTCGCGCTGGAGATGTAATCGGAGGCTGGCCATAAGAGAGTTCGTCAAATCCCTGCGAGTGAGAGAGAAACATAGGCCGTCTCACTTTTCTACCAGCGTCGAAACGTAGAGGAGTGAGACGGCCTATGTTTCTCTCTCACTCGCGGGAATTTGACGAACTCTCTTATGGCCAGTCTCCGATTACAGGGTCTCTAGCTTGCACTAGTGCGCACCGAATGCACATTAAGACTTGTTTATAGTCAGCTCTTATATTTCACTTTGTCTTAAATACACGTTCAAAGAGTATTTAGTCAAAAAATGATCGGCGCAAACGTACAGACCACTTTTCTGGATAAGAAATGTTGCATTTAAGACGATCTTTAAACATAAGAATTGACTGGAGACAAGGCTTACAGCGAATTCGGTTGCTTGCATTAGTGCGCACCGAGTGCACATTAAGGCTGGTTCACGGTAAGTTCTTATATTTGAGGATCGTCTTAAATATCTCTTGAAATATTTCGCGGCCAGTAAAATGATCTGTATTCTCAAGACAAAGTTAAATAAAAATTGACTACAAACAGGCCTTAGTGTGCACTCAGTGCGCACTGGTGCAACCAGCCGAATTCGCAATAACCCCCGGTCCACAATCTCGCTTGAAGTAAGCTGTAAGCCTTAAGCCGTAAGAAATGAACCGATCACAGGCGAGAGTGAGGGGAATAAATGCCTGTGATTGGTTACTTTCTTACGGCTTAAGGCTTGCAGCTTACTTAAAGCAAGATTGTGGACCAGGGGTTAGCCTGATATTACATTTGTCGTACGACAAATTTCTTAAGTGTGTCGATTGGCTGCGGGATAGTAAAATTCTCGGGTGTCTAGAAATTTTCTATTCCGCAGCCAGTTAAAAAAACCGCTTGAAAAAATTGTCGCGCGACGAATGTAATACCAACTTTACGACGGAATCGTAAACGGTTACAGCAATCTTTTTGCTCAGGCCCGAAGCCATCTTTCCGCTCCGCGGATTCGTTCTCGCGCTCGCCCGCGAGAGGAACGGTCTCCTCTTTAATTCTGCGATCCTGCGTTGTCCCAGCGATGGGTTGCGATAGTTTGGAATCTCATCAGTTCTTTGAACACTCGAATACGATTATACCAGATGATTGCGAGAGATCGCGATCGCGAGAGGCTAAAATATTTTTGCGATCTCCGTACATTCCTGCGGGCGATAAAGATTTTCTCGCGTTAGATCGTTATCAATCGGATAAGAGTGAAAACAAGGTACGCGATCTTTGTTTACCTAGCTGCGAGAGGCAGCAGTTTGCACCGCGGGGGGTTAATAAATAATTAATTTTCAATAAATAGTTGATAGGAACGTCGGTGCATTCGCGGGCGGCATCGATTCGCGACACCGCGAACGATCCCCGACACAAATGGCTCTTGCGAAAGCTGCAACTGAATAAATTAAATGGAATTTCATATACGCAATCGTGTATATACATATATATTTCAAGTCTTATCCTCCCGTGATATGAGACGTAAAAATTCTCTGACGCGACTCTCCAAGCACTTGCCGAGATTTTGATCCAAGATCACATTTGATCTTTTCTTCGTGCGAGGTGATTCCTCGATCGGTCAAGTTCGCTATTGCCTAATACACATCGAGTTACAGAAGTTGTGATTTCAGCAGCTTATTATCAAACTTTCTTTCTCTCCTCCCTTTCTGCCTATACTGGTATATTGTATTTATCGCTAAGTGTCCAGGATCGTTCAGCATATCGCGATTCATTTTATGAAATCCGCCCGCCA